ATTTCTGGGACAAATTAAGTATCAAAATTGTGAAATGGCAACTTACTTGGTCAAGAAAAGTTATTTCTGGGTAGTTACTATTTTGTGGGGAAGAAGATAAGAAAATATCAAAATTTATCAATTATTTAAAACTATTAATAGTCATATAGACTATTCTCCTGGGCTCATATTAAAACATAATTTATCTTTACTTTTTAAAGTAGGCTTAAGTTAGAGCATTTGATACTGCTCGTATTACTAAAGCTTGAGTCTTTGGTGGCCCATGTAAATTTCTTAGGGAGAATAATAATCAGGTCAGAATATTAAATTGCAGTTTTAGTTATCTTCTGTTCTACATTTGCAATCTTAGCAATGTATTTAGCATGTGGACTTATGAGAGAAATTTATGTTTTATGATGTAATTGTCAGATTCTTTTTCTGACTACTCTTTTTCTAGTGCCCAATAACACCATGCTTCTGAGGTTATACAATAGACCCTCCAAACTGTTAGGTTTCTGTTTTCCCACTTTCTCTAACTTTAAAATTGTGGAAGTCTCAAGCAATCCCTTGTGGCAGACATTAATAACATAACATAACATAACATAACATAACGTTAGCACATCTTGAAAGTTCTTATATCCTTAGTAGGGAAAACTTAGATTTCTTTTCTCATCCTATGAATATTTAAAATTAATATAAGGAATTTCTATATTTGTTTTTAAAATTCAAGTATATTTGGATCAACTTTTCTAGTTTATTGTATACTAGCTTATTGTATTCTCAATTTTGATAGATTGCTTTCAAGTTTAATTTTATCCAGATCTGTACATTAGTGATTGAATCTCTTTAAAGGAAACTTAAAAAGAGGCTCTGATTTTATAATTGGAAGATAACCATTTTTTTAAACAAATGTCAAGTTCATTAACAATAGCAAAATTATTTTTATTATGACTTATTTTATAGAGTTGGCACCTCATAAGATTTTCACATTTTATTGTCAGATTTTTAATTAAAATATTATTACATACTATAACTTATGTCAGTGCAAAACCCTTATGAATTTTTTTAAAATAAGTGAATTCCCAAACCTGTGTTAAGAACCAGTGGTTTAATGATTGTGAGACAAGTCTTTGGAAGGCTCTTTGAGTCTAGTCAATGGAGAAAAATGATAGCCCATTTCCATGCTGCATACAGTTAGGGTTTGTAAAAGTTGTCAATATGTAAAAGTGCAAATGCAGGAAAGACTATGTAAAGTGTAAAGTTGCCTATAAAAATTCCAGTTTTCATTATTTGCACTATTTCTCTTTGCACTTGATTTTTTGAAAGCTAAGGCTAGTCACTTTCACTTTTGTTTCTAGTCTTTTCTAATTTCTTACAGAATTTTTTTCAATATCCCACCCAAAGCAAAACTTATATGCAATTAACTATGCTTTATAAGTCCAAGAAAAATATTTCTTAGTATAATCTATTATATAGAATAAAAATTTGTTTTGATAAAATTTTTAATATGGGCCTTTTATTTGCCAAGAAAATCCTTTGTAAATGTGAGCTTTATTATAGTATTTGAGTAGACAAGTGAAAGCTTAGGATAGGAAAAAGTTATATATGTATATCTATATATATGTATATGAAATTATGTCTCTGAGATCCAATTTCCAGTCTACGGTGGCCGGTTTTGGAATGTTGATTTGTATTCACTGAGTCAAGGAGATTTGAGTCTTGCTGGTTATTGGCTTAAAAAACTGGGTGGCAAGTGGCAGCTCCCTCTTTCATGTAGTGTTCCATAGTAGTTGTAAAGTTTCCTTGTGGTCTCTGTGAATAACTGGTATTGAAATTATTTTATTAAGTGAATATTCCTTTTTGGAATTCCAGGGTGACTCGCTTTTTGAGGGGGGAGGGTAGACAGGGGTAAGAGACTATTTTAAATAGAGGCATTCTTATAACTTTAAAAATGTGCTATAGAAAGATTAAGAGAACAAAAATTGTATCTGTGAACCTTATTTTTTTGTCTTAGATTGTTGCAACACAGTGTTCAGGATTGCAAAAAAAAGTGACAGTTTTGTCAATACAACAGAAGTATGTTTTGGCTAAAATTATATTTTATACGTCTATTTCATTTTATATTAACTTTCCCATAGCATTTAGGCATTTCATACTTAAAACCAAGAAGTTAGAGGCCTCTTTTCAGATCTGGTTTATTTTTGGAATGCTTGAGTGTGTTTCTGGATGGGGGTGCAGGGATTGGTGTTTAATTCTTGACATGCTCTTCTCAGCATGTTTTGCTAGTTGTTCTGGATCTTCTGTTTGCAAATTTTGTTGAAAATTCAGCGATGTATTTGAAATGAGAAAATCCTCTGTGACGTAGTATGAATGCTTGTGTTGTGCAACTTGTGGTTTTGTTTTTAATTTGTGTAGAAAGTTAAACTTCTGTTGTTCAGATTTTAGGTTTATCTAATCTAATTGTGCCAGAGGTTGTATAAATATGGACCAATTTTGGGGAACGAATATTGACAAACATATTTGACTCTGGATAATCCTTTACTCAAAATTGTAAATAAGAGGCTCACATCATTGGTGTTGTCTAAAGTTTTATGTTGCTAGTTCTTTACATGTGGATAATGATCAGCATTATATATATCTATGAATGTCCTTTAGGAAAGAGAAAAATTCAGCCTCCAAACCTCTTCTTAGAGACTAAATTTACCATATATGGAAAGTTTTAAAAATTAGAAATGACTGATTATTTTTAATAGAGTTTAATCAGCTTAATTATTTTTCCCAGCTTGAAGCACTTATTTCCCAAATGTGAATAAAGGGAAAAGATCAGCAATTTGGCCCTTTTCTGTTGAGGCCATTTTTAGTTTTCTGCCCCTATTCCTCAATCTTGTATAAAATGAATACGGGTATCCTTATAATTCCTGTGACCCCTTTTTGAAGTCACAGTTACCTTTGATAATCTGATAAAAGTGATGGACCCTTTCCTCATTAAAAAAAAATACTAAAATGCACATACACAGGTAATTTTGCATATAACCTCAGGGGCATCACACATCTTCTAAACCAAGGATCTCTGCTCTAAATAAATTCTATAGAAAAATACTTGACAATTGGTAAAATTAGGAAATATTGGCTTAAGACATTCCAGATTGGAATTTTTGTTAGATGGTGGCCCCTACTAGCAAAATATGACATTGCAACCAGCTTTGTTAGACATTAAAACATCCAGATGGAAGGAAAAAGAAGCAAAAGTTCTGAGAGCTATTTCTAAGGAGTCGGCATCTCCAGACATGGGAGCCATCTCTTGACATGGCTCAAGGCAGGGGTCAGGGTGCCTGACAGCTTCTAGCAGGGTAGAGTTTGATAAACCACAATGCTCAGGATGCCAAGGGGTTAGCTATTATCTTAACCCCTTTCTCACCAAAAGATTTTAGTTTTGTCTATTGGAAAATAAGATGCCACTAGGGGAAAAAAATGATTTGCCTTATAACTTTGCTGGAACACATCAGTTTGGTGACATATGGGACACCAGTATTTTTGAAAAGGTGCATAAAACCAAAGTAAATTATTCTCTATGTAGAACATTATTTACTAGTAACATTTGTTTGGATGTATTAGCTTTGACAGTTTTTACCAGTAAATATTGAATTTATTTAAAACTGGGAATCCAGTTTATAAATAGGATAATTTCTATATCTTTTCTTTCTCCCATGTAAAGAATCGTTTAAAGATTTATGCATACTTTTTACTTTTCTCTCTTGATGCCATGGATAGGGTGGGTCGGGCGGGGGGAGATTTTTGAGTCAACAATTGACAAAATGTCTTCTCCAAATTGAAAACTGAGAAGCAGCACTTTAAGTCTAACTCGACACCGTTTTAGTGCATGATTTAGTTTTAATAATGATTTTTGGTGCATGCCTTTGGGCTTATTCAAAAGTGTACAATAGGAAAGTATATTTCCTTTCTTAGAAAGGAGATGTTTTTCTACTTTGCAACATGTGATTACAAAAATCTTCCTCTGTGGGAAGATTAACCATGTATTGAACTACTGAAAAGTATATATTTTTAGATATACAGAAGGAATCTACATGGAGCAGCATTTAGACCTATATAGAAGTCATAGCATTCTGTATAGGACCAAAAAGGAAATAACACTAAACACTTAAACAGACTTTGTTGGGTAGAAATACCTTTAGATCTTGCAAAGACTTCCAAAAAAGAAAATGCCACAGAAGTTTGCTGAAAACTTTTGTTGTTTGAATTTTCTCTGTCAGTGTATTTAGCCCAAATACAATGGTTTTGGGTTAACACATAAGAATAAGAATTTTTTTAAAAAGTTAACTAACTAGATCATTCTGGTTTGCCAATACAGCTTGACTGAAATAATCACTTGCAAAATGAAAAACTGTCCAACTCCTCTAAGGTTTTGACAATAACCTTGACTGTTGTGGGAAGATTCCCACTTTGATTTTTTTGACCTGACAGTGAAGATTCATGCTTGACATGATTTCAAACCTGACAGTGTCTGTTTAAGGAGCTATGGTACAGTTTGCTAATTCAATCCCAGATAACTGTTGATTACCTGTGAGATCTAGAGTCCAAAGTAGCCAGCAGCCGTATCCCTGAGTGCTCTGTGCCCATCAGATCTCTTAAAGTAAGCAAAGGTGGGACAGGTCACAGCTCAGATGAGTGACCTCAGGTGCTGTGAACAGCCCCAGATTCAAGAATTGTGTCTGCTTTCTTGGGATTATCACTGAATTATGTCCCACATGGTATTACTTGCTGTAGATGCTCTCTCTTGGAGGAGGCCCAGAGGATACATCCTAATTGCTTGTGGTATTCAGAGAGGGGGTGCTAACTCTGATACCCAGGCCAGATTCCAGTTTAGGGATGTGGGTCTTCTTCTTGCCATTCTAACTGGAAATGTGCATCACTTCCCATTTTTCTTGTTGATCTCAGTGCAAATTGCACTAGTCCGTTTCTTTGCCCAGGTCCCAAATCTCTAAGATGCTGGTGTGTATTACATGGGTCAAGTTCATGCCTTAACTAATGCACAAGAGTTGAGCGTAAGAATCTTGGTGTAAACTGCTCTAGAGTAGGAGGGTAAACTCTTGTGATGGTTTGGGGGGGTGGAATTGACCCTCTTTTAGCATAATTTGGGGAATGTGCACTGGCCGGAGGCTTCCAGCCATGAGGTGTGAGCTGAAACCTATTTCCCTCTTTTCTTATAGCATGTTGAGAAAATCTGTTGGGTTTTCAGCAGTCAGGGAAGGCCGGAGTTCTGCCGCTTTAATCTGGGTAACTGAGGCTGGTTTGAGCAAGACTTTGGTTAATTAACTGGGTTCTCAGATGCCACAGACTCCGTGAAAAGTCACCATTATTTTCAATGGTTGTGATAGAATTTCCCCCAGTAGCCATTATTTTAAAATTATATTGCAGAGTTGTTTTATTTGAGCTTTTTGTGTATACACAATCCCAAACTGGAAGAAATTTTTAAAAAGGAATCCTGCTGTGAAAGGTATATATTACTCTAGATTTTTCTTACTGTAAATATTGTAAGATTGTAATACTGTCGATATTTTATTAACCAACAAATGTTAATCTATGTGAATTCAGACTTATTTTAAATGTGCTTCTTATTTACTGTGTGTGGTCCCTGTTGCTGACAGTATTAAGTTATATTCTGATGTAAGATTAACTTTATTAAAGAATGTAAACATTAATGTTTCCTTATGGGAAAACAAATAAAGTATAAAGAAGACAATTCTTTTAATTAAAATATACTGTGTATTTACACTTGCTAGACCCAGCACCACTTATAAATTTAGTACACTATTCAGAATTTTAGTTAACACAGCTGACATGGTTGTGCTCTGTTTGACAGTCTAAGAGTAGGTATTGTTGGAATACAAGCAGTTTGTATTTGTCTGCTGTGAATCATCTTGAAATTTCTAATCAAATTTGTAAAATTTTTATAGCAAAACGTTTTAATGGCAATTAAAAAATTTATCTTCTCTAAAGAATGGTCAAAATAATATCATTTCAGAAATAGAATTGTTCTTTAATATCTTTCCAAAATAACTTTGGTTAAATGGACCAGGTGTATATTAGCTAAAATTAGGACAAAATTGTGATATTCTTTGAGTTTACAAGTTAATCGTTATTGGAAATGTGCCAATTATATAGTAGAATATCATTAATTTGCACTGTTTGGGGACCCCATTAAGAATGTTGAATTTTGCCAACTAAGAAGTAAGCAAATGCAATTTAAAAAGTAAATTTGAGCATTCTGTATTAAATACGTGCAGTTATTATCACATGAAGAAGCGCAGTGTGTCGGGCTGTAATATAACCATACTTGCTGTCATGTTCTCCCATCTCAGTGCTGGGAATTCACCATGTGGAAACCAAGCAAATGTGTTGTGCATCAGCCGGCTTGAGTTTGTTCAATATCAAAGCTGAAACTAGCGAGGTCTGCTGTACTGCTTATTGAAGTATTGTGATTCTTTTAGGCATTGATTCTTATAAAATATATACTGTAACAGTATACTTTGTACAGATTTAAATTTTATTTGAAAAAATGAAATAAAGTAGGCAAAAAAATAAAGATGTTTATTTTTCATGTGACTATATAAACAGATCAGTCTTTTGTTTCAGTGCCTTTGGAGTGGGAGTGGGAGTTTGATTTCTCCTGAGTTTTTGTTTTGTTCAGGGGGTTGATAGATGGAAACCATTTTTGGGACTCAGTAGCAGGTTTTCTTGCCTGATCATTAATTGGCTGTAAGCATTAAGTATGCGTACAGTCTGGAGAGCTCTATTTTCTATTTTACATCTAAACAAATTTGTTTTTGGTTTTTAAAGATTTTATGTGAATGGCCTCTTTATCTTCTTTCTTGAGTGGATTTTTAAAAAAATTATCTGATGTGCCAGTTAACCTAGCCATTGCAGTTAAAGAAAAAGAAAACCTTTCCCCGTAGATCATGCTTCTTTCCATGGGAAGATTTTCTGTTTTCTGTCATTTTAAATTTGAAATTAGTTGGGGTAGTGGAAAGGTTACAAAAGAGTACATGAGAAAAAATGAGAAAAGGAGAGATTGAAAATAAGATTCTTTCAAAACTGGGTTTCTATTGAGTTGAAGTGGTAGACAATGGGTGAAGTTATCCATTTAAAAAAAATAGTGTGGGGCTGGAGTGATAGCACAGTAGGTAGGGCATGCAGCCAACCTGGGTTCGATTCCCAGCATCCCATATGGTCCCCTGAGCACCGCCAGGAGTAATTCCTGAGTGCAGAGCTAGGAGTAACCCCTGTGCATTGCCAGGTGTGACCCAAAAAGAAAAAAAAAATAGTGTTACAGAAGTGATCAGAATAGATTTAATGGGACTTCCACATAGAAGATTAGATTATCTGACCAAAATGAACCAACCCAGTTTTGGCCTCTAACTAAAAACCAGAGAAGACCTCCGAGTTCCTCAGTTTTTAGAAGTGGAGTTGGAAGTTGCATTTGCAGCTATTCACCTCATTGTATCTTTGCTGCTGCTTTCACTTACTGTCAGGCTGGATATGAAGAAGACATGGGACAAGTGGTTGCAGGAATAAAGTTCCTGTAAAAATTACACTGTCTGTCCTCCCGTTGTTCATCGATTTGCTCAAGCAGGCCCAGTAACGTCTCCATTGTGAGACTTCTTGTTACTGTGTTTGGCATATTGAATACTCTCGGTAGCTTGCCAGGCTCTCCGAGAGGGGCGGAGGAATCGAACCTGGCTCGGCCGGGCTGGCTGCGTGCAAGGCAAACACCCTACCGATGCGCCCTTCGATAGCTCAGCTGGTAGAGTAAAAATTACACTGTGGAAAAAAATTGCACTGTCATTTAAATGTGTATGATAGTGAATGTAGTCTAAAAACTGATACCCAGTCACAGAACTTGGTTTACAGCATCACAGTTCCAGGCTTCCTTGGGTAAATCCCAAGAAAGTGTTGTGGTTTTGTTTTGTTTTGGTTTTTTTGTTTTTTGTTTTTGCTAAAATAACCCTCCTTTAGGACTTAGATTGAACTAGCAGACTTAGATTGAACTAGCAGCAGACTTAGATTGAACTAGCTTCCACATCTGACAACCACCAACACAAAAAAACGGAAACAACATAAGCGGAAACTTAAGTTGTATGAGAACTTAAAACTGATCCACCACTGTTTGAGAAGAAGGAAGATACAATTCCTAAGAAACTTGTTTTCCCTAAGTTCTTTAGTGCCACTGATATTGGGGGCAGGGAGCACATTCCGAGGATAGGAGGAAACCAAATTCTCTCTTCTTAAGGTGGGATCAGGTAAGTCCCTGGATCCCCATCCTGAAGGGCAATCTTTGCTTGTGGTGGAAACTCTAGCCAGAATTTTGAGTAATTTAAATAAAGGAATGGAAAGCCAGAAGCCAGTTCTTCTGTGTTTTAAGCCATAATCTTTTAAAGATTCCAAATTAGTACTATGATTAAATATATGCCCTGTGCTCATTTTTGGAGTGCAAAGGAGTGAAGTTCTACTCTTGGATTATGGGGGCGGGAGGGTGGGAGTGGCGGTTTGGGAGGTGGATATCCAGTCTTGGTTTAGGTCTGAACTATAATATTACAAGGATTATTTGTAAGGTCATGAGAGACCCCTCAAGAAGAATTTTAATCAATTTTAACACCCATATATCATTTTTATATAGTTTGTTTCTAAAATATCATTTGCAACCTCTTCCCACCCCTACCTGCAGTGAATATTAACTTTTACTTAACTATTATTTCATTCATTTTGGCTCTTTTGTGTGTCTTTTAAAAAGCTCTTTGTTTCTAGTTCCAGTAACACCTTCTTTCTCTTCTAGTGTCTCAGTCTTTTTTGATTTGGGGTACTAAGTTTTTGGAATATATTTTGTTCATTCATGATCATTTGAGAGAGATTCTTTTTCAGTGCTAGACTGGAACTGACCTGAGGGCCTATACACGTTTCAAAGCTTTCCCTGCCACCCCTCATATAATCTGAAGCCACTTCTTTTCTCTCTGAAAATGGGAATTTTATCTTAATATTGCATATCTCTGAGAGTGTTTCCAGTAACAGCATTCCAGTATTAATTTTTTTACCAACATTGATTTTCATTCATTTTATCGTTCATGTTGGGCCATTTGGCATTTAGCTTGGCTATGAGAATGTGTCACAAAACAGACTCACTGGATTTGGGCATTTTAAAAGGAGAATCTGGGCTGTAGAGAGCACTCAGTGGGCTAGTGCCCGTACTTTGCAAATAGGAGGCCCAGGTTTGATCCCTGGTACTGCCTAGTTCCCCAAACACCACCAAGTATGACCCCTAGCACTACAGGTCTGGCCCAAAAACCTTTGAAAGAGAAAGATGTCCCACTCTCACCCAACAGGGTTTTGGCATTAAAGGAATCCTGACTCCATACCCATCATACTACAGGCCCCCTACAGGGAGCAATTTCTCTCACCCCCTGGGGGGGGTAGTGCCAACCTAGCCCCACTTTCTCTTTCAGTCTCTGGCAGTGACAGTAGGTGTGGGTCTGTACTGCTGCCCACTTAAAAAAAAAAAAAAGTCCTAACATTTTCCAAGACCACCACTTTTATTTTCATCCTAATTTTGTCAGACATAATTGACATATATGTTTATAAGTTTAAGGCGTACAGCTTAATGATGTGACTTACACATTCTGTGAAAAGATAGCTGCAGGAAGCTTAGCACTCATTATCATAAGAATACAATTTAAAAAGATTTTTTTCCTTTGTGGTGAGAACTCTAAGGGTCTGCTCTCAACAACTTTCACATATAAAACCCAGCAAATTCCTCATTTTGTGCATAATACCCTTATATAACCGGAAGCCTGTACCTTTTAACCATCTTCCTCTAATTCCTAGTTCCCACACCTCAGCTTTGGTAAGCATAAGTCTGATTTTGTTTGGGTTGCGGGGGGGTGGGATAAGGGGACCTTCCATAGTGCAGGTGAGCAGACAATGCTGGGGCTAGGTTGGCACCAGGGTGGAGGTTACTCGTGGCCAGTAATTCTGATGGACTTCCAGAACTACATCTGGTTGTGTTGAGGGGTGCTAGGGTACTAGAGATTGAGTTCAGGTCCTTGCACATGCAAGGCATACATCCTAGACCTCTGAGCTATTTTCAGGTCCACAAATCTGATTTCTTTTTCTAAGGTATTTTGTGTGTGTGTGTGTGTGTGTGTGTGTGTGTGTGTGTGTGTTTAATAAATAAGATTCCATAGATTAGAGCAGTAGCATGGTGAGTAGGGAACTTGCCTGGCAAGCGGCCAACTCAAGTTTGATCCCTGGCACTCCGTATGGTTCCCCAAGCCCCGCCAAGAGTAATCCCCAAGCACAACCAGGTGTGTGTCCCCAAAAACAAAAAAAAAATAATAAGATTCTACATATATCTAAGATCACATAGTATTTATCCTTCTTTTATCTTGATATTTACTTTAATAAAGGGGATTGAACTAGGGACTCACAAATAGGAAGCATGCTCTTGGTGTGCATCCCTGGCCTGGACTTGATGTTTCATTGTTTGGTTTTTGAGCCACACGGCAGTGCCCAGGGCTTACTCTTAGCTCTGTGCCCGGGAGTCACTATTGGAAGGGCTCCTGGATTGAACTAGGGTTAGCTTATTCCAGGCAAGTGCCTTATGCCATGTACTATCTCTCCAGCCCAGGACTTTCTTTTTTTTTTTTTTTTTTTTGCTTTTTGGGTCATACCTGGCAATGCTCAGGGGCTACTTCTGCACTCAGGAATTACTCCTGGCAGTGCCTCAGGGGACTATATGGGATGCTGGGAATTGAACCTGGGTTGGCGTGCAAGGCAAACGCCCTACCCACTGTGCTATCACTCCAGCCCAGGACTTTCTTTTTTTTAAGTAGCATGGAATACTTAAAATAAGCAAGACACCAAGATAAGCCTTTTATCTCGGTTATTTCATTTAAATCTCAATACAACCCTGTGACACAAGCACTAACATTACCCCATTTTACAGAACAGGAAAGTCAGATTTAGAACACGGCCCCACCCGTCACCCTGCATGACTGCATTCACAGAATTCACGCTCCTGTTGGAGGCCAGCTGGTGCAGACTGCTGCGGCCACTATATTGTATTGCTTTATCAAGTCCTGCTGCCTCTTCCCTTAACTTGTAGGGTCTCCCTGACCTTGATGTTGCCTCACCTCAGGATATATTTAGCTGGATGGCAAAGCCACCGTTCCGAACGTGTAGCAGAGGAAGGTTTCTCAGCATAGCTCAGAAGTCACTTCCTGTTCTGGAGGTTGATTCATGAATGAATCCACATTTCATTCCCACACCCCCCCTTCCCCCTTTCATGAGGGAATGACTGACTCAGCACAGGTCTGAGGGAAGCTGGCAAGTGGCCCTTCCAAGGCTTCTCCCCACTGCTGTTGCTTAAAGTGAGCACAGCCCTGAGTACTCTGCCCTCACCACAGTGACCTCACCACAGGCTCTGAAATCTGTTCAGTGGAATTTTGACTTCTGTTGTTTGTTTTGCAGCCACACCCAGCTGTGCTCAGGGCTTTCTCCAGGCTCTGTGCTCCGGGATCACTCTTGGCAGGCTTGGCAGGCCATATGTGGTGCCAGGGTTCAAAGC